TTTTGCAAGGTGATAAGGGTTAAAAAGAAAAATCCAGCAAAGTAAAATGGAGATGATGATGTGCGGAGAAAACGAGATGGCTATTTTAGGGACCATGGTTAAGGGAAATCATTATCTGAGCAGAGACTTGAAGGAAGACTTTCAGAATGATGAAAGAAGGTTGTTCCAGGCAGTGGAACAGCAAATGCAAAATCCCTGAGGTGAGCTCATAAAACAGCATGGAGGCCAATGTGAACTGTAGGAGGATGCGGAGTTAGAAGAATGGTTCTTCTGACCCTTGAGGGCCACGGGGAATACGCTGGACTTTACTCCAAGTGTGGGAATCCCCTGGAAGGTTTAGAGTAGAGGAAAGACATAGTCTAACTTCTACTTTCACAGGATTACTGGGTGTTAAGCTGATGTGGACCACAGGTAGGGGAAGGCAGAAACACAGAAATCGAACAGTAACTGCAATCATCCAAAGGAATGATGCTGGGGGCTTGGACCAGGGTGATAACAGTGAGCCGGTGAGAAATGGCTGGATTCAGAGGTATATTTTGGAGGTAGAGCTGAGAAGATCCACCAAGAGAGTAAATGTGGAATCAGAAGAACAGAAAAGTCAAATATGACACTGGGGTTCTTGGCTTGGGAACAAGAAGCACAGACTTGGTAGTTGACTGAGAAGGAGAAGCCTACAGGTACAACAGTTGAATAAGCATCAGGAAGTCGTGAGTTCATGTTTCCGCAGGTTACACTTAAGGAGCCTAGAGACACCACGGAGGAGTCCTGGTAGTGTTGTCAGGAAGTGTTGGACTGCTAATCACAAGGTCAGCACTTCAAACCACCAGCCACTCTGCGGGAGAAAGATGAGGCTATTTGCTCCATAAAGATTTACTACGTCTCAGAAACAGTAATATAGAGTTGCCATGTGTCATAATCAACTCTATGGCACTGGGGTTTGTATTTAGGTTAATAACACCCAATTGGAAATGCTAAGTATACAGTTGAACGGATGAGTTTGAGGTTCAAGGGCAAGACAAGACCAAAGACATAATTTAGGAATGTAATTGTATTCTTAGTATTTAAAGCAAAGAGATCCCTCAAGGAGTGACAGCAATAAGAAAGGCAGAGAAAAAGTCCAAGAACTGAAGCTTTAACATTTGGAGTTGAAAGATACAAAGAGGAGCAAACCAAGAAGACAGAGGAGGAACGGCAGTGGAGAAGGAGCAAAGCTAGGAATCTGTGTGTATGTTCAAGGGCACAGGAAACGGCCCCAGCTGCTCTAATGAAGAAAACCCAGCCCTCCTGACTCCTGATATAAACTATACTTGCATTCCACCTGCCACCCAAACTTCTGTGGGAAATAAGCAGACTGAGGGAAATAAGTCAGGAAGACTTAGGATTCCACTACAAGGTTAACTAGGTATCTTAAGTGTTACTACGGCTCAAGTTATTCTTGACCTTACTACTAACACTCTACTAATAGCAACCAACATTTATTAAGCACTTGTCATCAAAAAGGCTCTATTTATATGAATTATTTCATTTAATGCTCCTAACCCTATCAGATAAACACTATTGACTCATCAGAAAGACCCTTTTAAATAGGCCCAAGGACCAGCCCCAATCCCAACTACGTGGACACCTTCCCCTCCCCCAGAA